ATGGATTTGTTTCGTTTTGGTGATTGTGCCATTTTTAAATGTGTATTGAGAAGAGCAATAGAGCGATCTATTTTTGTCTTTCTTTAAAAGTGAGGAAATACTGGAACAGTGCATTGATAAAGGCAATTGCTGTTTGTCAGATCTTTAGAAGAGGTGCGATTTTTGTCTGGTTTTTTTTTTTTTTTTCTAAAATTCAATTCCAGAGCCATCAGGCCCAGGGGCCTTCCCAATAGGAAAGCTTATGATTGCATTAGGTATCTCTTGAATAGTAATTTCAGATTTCAATGCTTCCTGATCAGCTTTACTCAGTTTTGGAAGGGGGAAGTTGATTGAAGGAAGACAGAAATTGCTGCAGGCTGAGTATAGAACTTAGGTTGAAATAGACCTTCATAAAATTGTCTTATACAGTCAGTGATATCCTTAGAATTTAGTATTTTGCCTTCATATTGCTAAATGTTATGACTTCATTTGCTGGCTTTTTCTTTTTCTTTTCCCACAGCTCAAAGTGTTTTTGCTTAACTAAATTAGAAGAGCTCGTATTATATTCATATTTGAGAATCATTCTCTCAATTAGGATGGTCAGGGCTGCTTTATCTCTGTGTATTTTCATTACATACAGGCAGCGTCGGTGCCACGGTGGGGGGGCTGAGGGGGCCTGGCCCGGCCATGCAAATTACATTTTATTGGGTCTCTAAACAGTAATATGCGGCTGTTGAATTTTAATTGCTCGTTGCAGAATTGCCTGTGGACTGGCCACTCCAGTCGTAACAAGGCCGTTTTGATTGTGTAGAATAAACAGGAATCGTTTCCCTGGTGTACAGTAGCTTCCGCTGGTTGCGATTTGACTGCCAGATCACATTTAAACCTGTAGACCCTTCCCGAGCTGAGCCTTGCGGTTTCCTGCTCACTCAGTCAAAAGAAACCAATTCACCTGCCTGAGATATCATTCTCAGTAACCCAAGCACAGCACTATTCACATGTAGCCAAGGTCTAGAGGTTTGGTTATTATGCTGAGAGCCATGTGTTTATCTATGTGAAGAGCAACATATCTCTGAGAAATGTCACCCATTCAAAAGGCTCCATGAAAGGCCCAGCTTGTCTTCTTGAAACCGAATACCCGTATTAGAGGAACGAACATGTTCATCATGCTGGATAAGAGTGGTGGCATACAGATGAAAATGATCTGCATTCGCATTTAACTTGTCCGAGATCACTCCAAACCAACTTATTGCTGATGTTGCCACACAATCGGCGTAGTAATATCCCTTGGCGAGACTACCGTGCTTCAAAACAGCAGGGTCCGCTCTCAAGTGAGATGAAAAGCTGTGTGGGAAGACAGGCACTGGGTGTAATGTCTCTAATCTTCAGTGCGAATCAGTCTTTGTTGTGCCTCTCTGTGCAGCCACTACAAAGAGAAAGACACAAACAGCAGTCCACTTTTGGTGGACGAAAACACTGCATATGTTTTTTTTTTTTGTTATTCCATTTTTTACTGATGGTCTTCAAACCACTGTCAGGCACACTTTGTGAATACATATATACAACAGAGTGTAAACAAAACCTTCAGTAAGTTAGTTAGCCTTATCCATTTTTGTTTTGTTTTGTTTTGCTGTTTGTTTATTTGTTTTGTTTGTAAGTAGCAAAAAATATTTACCCATGTGACTAACTAAAGGCTTGACACTATATATATATATATATATATATATATACAGCTAATTAGTTATCCAAGTGTCTAACTAAAAGCTAGGGCTAGTTAGTCACACCAGCCTGCTTGATCTATGTGAATAATTCTTGATGGATTTGTTTCGTTTTGGTGATTGTGCCATTTTTAAATGTGTATTGAGAAGAGCAATAGAGCGATCTATTTTTGTCTTTCTTTAAAAGTGAGGAAATACTGGAACAGTGCATTGATAAAGGCAATTGCTGTTTGTCAGATCTTTAGAAGAGGTGCGATTTTTGTCTGGTTTTTTTTTTTTTTTTCTAAAATTCAATTCCAGAGCCATCAGGCCCAGGGGCCTTCCCAATAGGAAAGCTTATGATTGCATTAGGTATCTCTTGAATAGTAATTTCAGATTTCAATGCTTCCTGATCAGCTTTACTCAGTTTTGGAAGGGGGAAGTTGATTGAAGGAAGACAGAAATTGCTGCAGGCTGAGTATAGAACTTAGGTTGAAATAGACCTTCATAAAATTGTCTTATACAGTCAGTGATATCCTTAGAATTTAGTATTTTGCCTTCATATTGCTAAATGTTATGACTTCATTTGCTGGCTTTTTCTTTTTCTTTTCCCACAGCTCAAAGTGTTTTTGCTTAACTAAATTAGAAGAGCTCGTATTATATTCATATTTGAGAATCATTCTCTCAATTAGGATGGTCAGGGCTGCTTTATCTTTTTCATTTTTCATTACATACAGGCAGCGTCGGTGCCACGGTGGGGGGGCTGAGGGGGCCTGGCCCGGGGTCACTGTGCACTGTGCCCCCTCACCTCTGGTGCCGTCTCCGTAGTGGGCGCCCTGATTTTAGTCGGTGAGGCAAGGTACTGCCCTGGGAAGGTTTCCCAGGCTGTTAAATGCACAGATTCAAATCTAAATGTTTTCATTTCGGTTCGTTCTTAGCAAAAAAATTATAATTTTTTCGTTCAGGTTATGCAGAGCGAAATAAGAACGGTGCTGCATTTAGAAAGAATTCTTATTAACTTTATTAACTTAATAAAACTGCTAACACTTTGCAGTTTTGAATTATGCCTTTACTGTATGACCAAAAATTACGGAGTAGTCTATTTTATGTTTCAGCTGTTTGATCGCGCCGGCGCCTCACTCGCACACTAAGCTACTGCATTCATTGGAAACAGCACATCCATTCACCGTGCTGTTCGGCGTGAGACCCGGTCCACTGTGGCATATTTTTGCTCCTTATGATATTTTTTCCATCGATACTGGAACGCGCGTGAACTGTAAAGTGAGGGGAACTAAATTATCCTATAGTGTTTATAATGTTGATACATTACAACATTATTAGGCCTACCGTTATTATTTCTGAAAATGCAGCTTATACGAGACGTATCTTTTTTTTTATTTTCCTCAAAAAAACAAAAGAGAACATCGTGGGGCTGAATGATAAGGGATATGGGGCGATGCCAGTGGTGGAGCAGACGCTTGCGAGCTATCTGTCCCCATACTCAGCATCGTCCCTGAAGGAGCAGGGGGGTCTGCGTTCACGCCCCTTGTACAAGCTGGCGCGCCAGATCCTTCTGTGGGCTCAGGGGAAGCTCCTCTCTCTAAGAGCAGTTTACATTCCTGGGTATCTAAATCAGGGGGCAGATATCCTGTCGAGACAGGGGCTGAGGCCCGGGAAGTGGATCTATTTGCGTCGCAGGAAACGACACACTGTCCGCTCCTGTTCTCCCTCACGCATCCAGCTCCACTGGGGCTGTATGCCATGGTGCAGACGTGGCCGAGGCTCCGTCTGTACGCTTTTCCCCCGACCGCTCTGCTCCCGGTAGTTCTGGCGAGGTTCACAGATAGCAACAGAGTCTGGGCCAAATCTGGTTTACATTCACTTCTGGCTTTTTTGTCTTGATTGCAAATGTTTTTTGTTGTTTTTTTTATGTAGGATGGATAATTAAAACAAAAATCAGGCGTGTGTATTTATAAAATCAATTACTAGGCCTACATTCTTTTTTTCAGAAATGGAAGTAACTCAAAATGTTGTGTGTTTGTAATTTTAATATTTTTATCTATAGGCCTATACAGCAAAACTACAGAGCTTCCAGTAGGTTATTTTATGGAGCTGTAAACACGGGAATCTCCGACCGCATGCAATCTTTGACGAACACCCAATTCATATATCAAACTAGGTATATTTTATATCAAAATATATCAAATATCATATATCATATATCAAAAATGTATATTTACATGTTTTTTTTCAAAGCAAAAAATTGTGCCTGCCCCCTCACTTTGTGCGCTCTGGCGCCGACCCTGCATACAGGAATACATACGGCTCACAGCATCTGAAGTGGCATTACACTAATTAAGCAAAGGGTAAACAATAATAACAATAAACATCAAGCACAAAGTTGGTTCCTCCTGACCAGTTTCCCCAAATGAAGCACAGAAGTTTCTTCAGTGGTGAAGAGATCAGGGGAGATTCTATCATATTCTCTATCCAGACAGTGGTGCACTCTGACTACTATAGCACTGGGACAGGATTGAGTGGCTTTAATCTGACCTGTGTGATTTGTGTGGTTAATCTTAAGAGAGAGAAAGAGATTTTGGGGAAAAGTTGTGATTTTGAGTTCACTGATGCTGTCATGGTCTGTGCTTTGTTTAAGTGTGGTTACATGTGAGGTTGCACCCATAAGGTCTATGTCAACTAATAATATGTTTTATATTATTAGCAAAAGTAACATTTAATCAATGGATTTTAGGAGCTTCACAAAAAAAGTGCCTTCTCTGCATTTCATTGGGTCTTTCCCACTAATTGCCTATGGCTGGTCAGTTTTGACTATAAACATCTATGCTGTGACTTATTTTTATGACCACTTAGACTCATCAATCGAAGTCCAGTCTTCTTTTTTTTTCAGATTGCATATGTAAGTCACCAAGTTTTAAACCACTCAGATTGAGGAAACAATTTCTATTAAAAAACAAAAGTGACTGAAAAGGGTTCAATCATTTCGCAGTGAATAAAATCTTCAGCCATTGGCCATCCAGTCATCAAATGGTCAGTACTGTTTAGAAGCATATGTTTTCAGTGCTAAAAATGTACTGACCTTCGAACTACTAGGATGTAGCATAACGTCCTCTGTGAGTTTTACAGTCACCCTGGCGAGACAGGAAACATGACTTTAAAAGACGTTCAGGGATCTACTTTTCCAATACATCTATTTCAGATGTACATTATGACAGTTAAATGTAACTGTGTTGACATCGTTGTATAGGTGTGTGTTGTAACTTTGCATTCTTCAAGGTTTTTTTTCTCTCTTTTTTTTTAACCTAGAGAGCGTTTTTTCTCTCGGAGGCATTTTCCCCTCCTGAGTCTTCATTAAGAGAGACCTTGGATCCAGCCTTCGAACTCCATGAGAATATTGCCAAGGTAAGAGTGCTCCTCCTTCCACTACAAAAGTCCAATAGTGATTATTTTGTTTGTTTGTTTGTTGTTGGCTGGCTGGTTTATCAGGTGCTGCAGTGTTGTACGTCTAAAATTGTCATTAGGATTATGTTTTGAGTGGAAGATTTTCTTGCTCAACTTTAAAGTGTCAATTGCACAGCTACACAAATCATAACTCAAGAGACAGATAGAATGCGAAAAAGCAAATAACTTCAAAAGTGTTTATTCTAAATCATTTGCATTTTTTCAGGGTTATGCAGATAAACAAACCTTTTCTTAATCTCTACTTTAATTCCTTAACCTGAACGGTCTGTTCTCCATACTCGATTCTCTCAATAAATGTCTGCGTTTTGATGTCTAAATGTAGGGTTGAAAGTTTGAATTCGTTTAGTAATTTAAGAGTTTCTGTGTGGTATTTTGTGGTATTTTTTTCTGTGCCTTTGGCTAATGTTTAATGTTGAATGATGAATCATTCACAATAAGATTAAGAATGTGTATGAAGAAATTAAATAGAGTCCATTTTTATTTTGTGTTGATTTGTGCTGAGCTCACCCAGTCATCATATCATGAAGTGTGTCTTCCAGACAGGACAAAAATGCATTGACCAAGCATCAAATGACAGTGTCCGGTGCTTTTTTCAGTGATTTCCAGATTATTTCAGTGTGTGGGGTGATGTTATGAAACCCCAGCAGTGTTTCAGTCCACAGACATTGATTGGTTGGCTTCTGACAGCCTGTTCCCCATCCTGGCAGTCTGTAGAGGAACAGCACGCATGCTTAGACTCAACAACAAACCCTGCGAAAATGTTATGAAATATATATGAAACAGGCTGGAGATTTTATAAACAATTTTTTCTCTCTCTCTCTGCCAGTTATGGCCACAGCATTAACGGCAGCAAGAAATATGAGTATCATTAAAGTTCCTCATCACAGTCAAGGAGATATTGTTCTGCGCCATGAATTATTCAGGCCATTTGAAGACACACTGGCAATGACACTAAGAGGCTCACAAGGTGTCCGTTCAGTGTCTTGTCTCCTCCAGCTACACATTTAAAACTGTTTAAAACACATTTATACAGGAACATTAGATAAAGCGTCTGCAGAATCTGAGAAGGTAAATATTTAGTATGGTTTTGAATTCAGTGAGCAGATTTGGAAGTGTCAGAATATCATATTTCTCAGAACAATGGACAGAAAGGTTGGGAAACTTCCCTGAATAACAAAACAAGACAGAAAGGCTAAGATCTCAGGCTGTGAAAAGCATGCAAAGACACATTTTCATACACTGGTGTCAGAGAAATGGTAACACTTTGCAATAAGATTCATTCATTCTCCTTTGTTAATGCATTAAGTATCACAAACTAACAATGAACGACATTTTTTACAGCACTTATTAATGTTAGTTGTAAATGAATGTTGTTAATTCATGTTTCAACTTTATTAACAGTAACAGAATAATAAATGCTGTAGAAGTATCTTATTTATTGTTAGGTATTGTGTTTAAAGAATATTCCTGGTTCAGTACAGATTAACCTTAATCAGCAGCACTTGTAGCCTAATGTTGATTGCTACAAAAGCTAAACAACCGCTCAAATAAAACACAATTTTCACAGATGAATGATTTTAAGTGCTTTATAGATATAAGCTTCACCTTTCTGCTTTAAATCCTCCAAAAATAAGTGCCTTGCCTCTACAAAAGAGGATTCCTTTTTTTTGTGATAATGAATATTATACAAATTCTTGGGAAGCAATGTTTTCCCACAACAGAGCAGATTTGGATAATGTGTGGGAACTTATTCAGTACTTTTCATTCATTTAAAATTAACCCTCCATCAATAAGAAAAATTATTTAAATGTGATTTTGATAATTTCACTCAAACGGTACATAAAAAAAAAAAAATTGTAAACACGTTAATTTGTTGATTCAGTGAAATATGCTTTGGTAAATACAAACGGACCTCAGAAGGATACATGATTGTTCATAATTCATTATTCTGCTGTGTATGTTATAGAGCGTAAAAATTTGATTAATTTGTCCAATGTGCAATACTTTCACACTCCCAGTCCAAGCCCAATCCTCTAGAGGGCATCTTGTATAAATATGCCCTACTTTCCAAACAGCACAAGTTCTTAGTCACATTGGCCCTGTAATGATGCCGTAAGGGTTGCCACTTTCCACCTGCCATGAGCTCGGTGTGACTCTAAAACCAATATTAATGAATGCTAATGCCTCTTGAGAGTTTCCTTAATATCACGTGACCTGTAGTCACCTGCTAGCCTTTCCCAGTATGCCGTTCCTCTGAAATAACGGCTACAGACGTTGTTAGTTTGGTGATCCAGATTTCATATGGAAACTAAACTCAAGTAGCCCCCTGATGCCAGCTTAAATCGGTGGAGGCAGATGTGAATTGATGGGGTGTGAGAGTTGTGTCTCACCGCTGTCTGATAGTCTCCAGCTGCAGTACAAGCGCACTTGAAATCCCTAGGTCCCTCTGTAAGGCCAGCACTGTTGTATCTGTGGTGTCACGCTTCTCTATGCCTCCAGGTCCCGTAGGACCTTGGGCCCGAGCCGAACTCACTTTTTCTGCAGGCTGAAGAGCCTTGGGAGTTCTTTCAGCGAAGCTTATCACATCCTCTGCTCATTTTTCAACCCCACCTTTAAAACCACAGCTGGGCCGGTTTGATGGGGAGGACAGAGGGGCCGAGTAGTGCAGTGTGTGTTTGAGTCAGTTCCACTCAGCCTAGCACGGAAGCCTGGCATCGATCATTTGAGCCGCAGGTATGCGCACACTCCATCACCCTCACAAGGTCCACATGCGGCATACCATCTCTCTGGGGCTCAGAGCCTCTGTGCTGACTACCTAGAGTACTACTTTAAAGATCTACATCTAAAGTCGCTCATTCCCTTAACTGGATAGTTTGCCCTCCTTTTAGAATTTCAACTCCGTTTGCAATATTGTAGCACTGCGAATTGTTTGCTGTGGTTCCCTTTTTTGTCTTTTTTGTTATGTACAAGACAATGCCGAGTCTGGCTATGCAAGTTGAAGAGACTCTACACTGCTTTCTGTACTATTAAAAGTAAATTCTACAGAAAGCTGTACAAATGTTGAAGTAAAAATCAGTTAATTGGTTAACTTTACTGTAAGATACATAAGTTGAAAAGGTTTAAATGGTTTAACAGCACATTATACCTAAGAATGCTACTATAAATGTATGATTTTAGGAAACTTATACTAGTATACTATAAATAGATTTAAGCAGTTATAGATTATATATAGTAAAGATTATATATTGTAGTATAGTAAATAGTATAGTTTATATTTAAATAGTTTGTTTCTTTTGACAATACTGCTGTTTGGGGTTGGTAAATTTTTTTCTTACCATTGTTTCCACAAAATTATTAAGCAGTATTAACCATCTTTTTTTTTTCTTTAGCACCAAATCAGCATATTAGAATTATTTCTTATGGATCATGTGATGCTCAAGACTGAAGTAATGGCTGCTGAAAATTTAGGTTTGCATCAGAAATAAATTACATTTTTAAATATATTAACATAGAGAACACTTATTTAAAAAAATATTATTTCACAGTAGAAATGTTTGAATTGTATTATGAAACAAATGCAGCATTTGTGAACATTAGAGACTTTCATAAAAATGTACCCACCCCAAACTTTTGATTGGTATAGCGCTCTTACAAAAATTGTGTAAGACATTGAATACAGCCTTAATCTAACGTGAGAATGAATAAACTCCTGTATCCTGCTTGGACAGTTCATGCAATTAGACTGACCATAAGCTTTAATTGATATGCTCATATGTGTGTGCAGTGCATGATGGGTAACATCTTATTCAGCTCACCATTCATCTCACCTGGATAACAGTTGTGTTACCTGCAAGTGTCACAAGTAAAGTTCCAGAATAGACCTTTGAGCAAGATGCCCAGTGGAGCATTCACTAATGGAAAGAATGTGGATGTACATAAGAAGTGTGCCTCTGTTCTAGGCAGAACTTACAAGAGAGATGGACTCATGCAACCCAGAGATTCTTTCAAAATTAACCTGCCATGCGTCGCTTGCCCTGGGAATCAGCCAGCCAGAAAACCGTGGTGGAGTAGGAAGCCTGAGAGGACACAAGCTGCCAGCGAGAGGAAGCTGTGAGGTTGAGAGCAGCTGCTGGTGTGATTGAACATCCCAGGACAGCCATTGTTATGTGTCAGTTGGAAACAATGGCGGTGGTGAAGACTGAAGGCTTGGTATTGTACTCTGACAGCCTGAGTGACACTAGCCGGGCAGGGTGAGGAAGGGTGAACGGAAGATTCTGCCAGCTTTGCTTGCATGGCACCTGGACGGGGCAGGAATCCGCTGATGGACTCTGTGGGGAATGTCTACCTGAGAAGTATATCAATTTACATTCCCTGCCCTTGAGTGAACTCATCTATTAAAGGGCGTCCAGAGATCCGCATCCGAAGCCCTCCCAAAGAACGAGTTGTGAATGAGTGTGGGTGTTTCATTTGAGCGTGACGTTCAGATCGCATTGTTCCGAGTCCATCAGTGCTAATGCAGTGGCACAGGATCATCAGCTGTCCATTGTCGGAATTCACCCTCATTTCGGTTCTTAATGTTTTAGCCTTTTAATTTCTTAAATGGACCATCTGTTCTATGCAGTTGTATTAATATGAATTTGCCATTTTGAGGATAAAGAATCGTAGAAGAATTGCCCGAGAAAGCTTTTTTTTTCCCTAATATAAGGTCTGAAATTATAAGATAGCACTAATTTCCCAGAAATTACTGCCTTTGAGGTCGCTTATAGAATTAGACTAGAAAAAGATTTTGAGTTGAACTTCAGTTAAGCCGTACAATTAAAAATGCTGGGATTTCAAAACACTAGATGTGCAAAGTAAAAAGATACGGAAGAAAATTTGGAATTAGCAAGTGTTAAAGGGGTCCAATGAGGTCAAAAGTTGTTTTGTATGGAGCCCCACAC